AGGTGGAGGAAGGCCTCGACATGCTTATCGAGGGCGGCATTCTCAGCGGCGCTCATCTGTGTCCTGTCGGCCTCCTGGCTTTGTGGGCTCCATAGCGACTGGGTGAACTTGGTGAAGCGCGAATCAAGGTTGCACAGCTCCTCAAAGCCTTCGAGGCATATCGAGTAGATCTCGGGGTATGTCTGGGTAGCGGCGACGCGGGGCTCGAAGATCAGGGACTTGGAGTGGGCGGCCTTGAGGACCTTGGTGTTGAGGGTCGACCGCGAGTTGGCAGCGATCTGGGCCAACTGGGAGGCCAAAGACGACATGATTGGGTGTTACGATTCGGCCCTATGGGTATCGTATGGTAGTATCGTTAAGGGGAGAGTCGACGTCGATATTTCGATCGCGTCGCAAAGTGGGAATTCGATCGGCCTTTCGGCGCGTGGTGGAAGACGGGGAAGGGTGCAGTCTCGATCGTGTATCGTGGGGTAGAGACTGGGATTACTGGAGGTTGGATGTGTGTACAGTTGTCGAGAAAGAGATTGCCGCGGTCTCTCTTTGCTGCGACGGTGTTGATGTTTTCGGAGAGTGCCCCGTGGGTAGTCCTATTTGGATGGATGGAAGGAAAGGGAATTCAAACTTGGAGGAGGAGGTGCGGCCGCTCGAAGCTCCAGCGCGTGCAACTCAACCGCAAAACTCAAAGTGCAGTCAATCGATGGCCGTTCATGGTTCAGCAACTTTTTTTTCCCCAAGCGGTGGGGTCCGATAAGGAAGCTGAACCAACCACAGCACGCCGATAAGACCCCCAGCTTTGGCAGCCAGGGTCCAAAAAGTTTGGAAAATGTTCCTGAGCGGTTCCTCATCTCAGTGAAGAACAAACAACGAATCGATACCCATCCATCTCCACTCCAGAACACCGCTCGCCTCTCACTTCAGTCTGTCTTCAGCACACATCAACCGCCCGCACTCAGTGTTTCAGCTTCACTTCACATCATCTCACAACCCTCCAACTGCACAGACCATCACCAGCCACCACCATGTCTTCCCATCCTTCCAAGCGGAGGAAGCTGACCGAGGGAGGCCAGTCCTCGGACGGCGCAGCCACCAGCGACGTCAAAATTCAAAAGCAGTTCTTCAAGAGTGCACAGAGCTGGAACCTCGAAGAGGACTATGAGAACCGCCCCAGGAAAGGAAAGAAGAAGAAGGAGAAGAAGGCCGCCGATGCCACGAAACTGCCCATCAGAGTTGCCGAGGGAACCTGGGTGACGCAGGAAGAGGAAGACGCCGAGATTGCGAGCGATGCCGAGTGGTTGGAGAGTGAAGGGGAGGAGGCCCCTGAGGAGGAGGAGGCTCAGCCCGAGCCAGAAGCACCCAAGATTCCCGAGCGTGAACAGATCAGGAGAGCCCAGGAGGAAATGGCCAAGATCGCAACGCAACTCAATGAAGATCCAGAGGAGCATCCGGGTGCTTTCAAGGCGCTCGCCAAGATTGGAGAGTCGGACCTTCTCGCCATCAAGAAGCTCGCCATTGTTGTCCAGATGACCGTCTACAAGGATGTCATTCCCGGCTACAGGATAAGACCGGCTTCGGAGGATGTTGCCAAAGAGAAGCTGTCCAAGGATGTCAAGCGGCTACGCGTCTATGAGCAGGCCATGGTCACCGGTTACTACCAATACATCAAGACCCTTGCTGCCCTCGCAGGTGGATCTATTCGCGACAAGTCCAAGCAGCCCATTTCCAGCATCGCCCTTACCTGCGCCTGCACCCTTTTGAACGCAGTACCGCACTTCAACTTCCGCGGTGAGCTTCTCAAGATTCTCATCAAGAAGCTGAGCTACAGAAATATTGATAAAGACTTTATCAAATGCCGGACCGCTCTCGAGACCCTGTTTCACGAGGATGAGGATGGGCAACCCGCCATGGAGGCCATTTCAGTGCTCACAAAGATGATGAAGGCTCGCAACTACCAGGTTGACGAGAGCATCCTGAACCTGTTCCTCCACCTGCGTTTGCTTAGCGAGTTCTCCGGAAAAGCTTCCAGGGACACGGTGGAGAAGCAGGATGATGGGTCGGTCAAGAAGCCGAAGCAAAAGAAGGAGTTCCGCACCAAGCGTGAGCGCAAGCTCCTCAAGGAGCAGAAGGAGGCTGAAAAGGTCATGGCCCACGCCGACGCAGCTGTGAGCTATGAGGAGCGAGAGCGGATGCAGTCCGAAACGCTCAAGATGGTTTTCGCCTCGTACTTCCGCATCCTCAAGATGCGTATTCCCAACCTCATGGGTGCCTGTCTTGAAGGTCTCGCCAGATACTCCCACCTGATCAACCAGGACTTTTTTGGTGATCTCCTTGAGGCCCTAAAAGACCTGATCCGCTACAGTGAAAAGGACGCTAACAAGGAGGACGAGTCGGACGACGAGAACAAGGAAGAGGAAGAGGATGAAGACGACGAGCACGAATTCGTTCGTGACACCAGCCGCGAAGCCCTCCTCTGCACCGTCACCGCCTTTGCTCTTCTCGAGGGCCAAGACGCGCATAACGCCCGCTCAGACCTTCACCTCGATCTCTCCTTCTTCATCACCCACCTCTTCCAGTCGCTCCTCTCCCTCTCCGTTAACCCGGATCTCGAACTCGGCGCCCAGTCGCTCCAGCTCCAAAACAGCGTGCGCCGCAACAACCGCATCAATCTGCAGACCACCACCGTCCTGCTCGTCAAGTGTCTCAGCGGCATCCTCTTGCCGCCCTGGAACATCCGCTCCGTGGCGCCGCTCCGTCTGGCCGCCTTCACGAAGCAGCTCATGTCTGGATCGCTCCAGGTGCCGGAGAAGTCAGCCCAGGCGCTTCTCGGCTTGCTCGCCGACGTGCTGCACACGCACGGCAGGAAGATTAGCTCGCTCTGGAATACGGAGGAGAGGAAGGGCGACGGCACATATAAGCCACTTGCGGCGACGGTGGAGGGTAGCAACCCATTCGCGTCGACGGTGTGGGAGGGCGAGCTGTTGAGGAGACATTATTGCCCCAAGGTGAGGGAGAGCGTGAAGGAACTGGAGAAGAGCATCAAAAGTATCAAATAGCGGGTGAAAAGGTGATGTTGGAAGGGATTGTCTTGTTATGTCTACGAGATTCTAGGTGTAGGTTGTTGGAGAGTATACACGTTAGCTTTGGCATAGAATTATTATTCTTGAAACGATTCTGGATATCTACGAGTTTATGGCTGTGAAGGTGATTTCAATGGTGGCTAGCAGACACAAAGCCACCATCATACCAACGGGTACTTTGTCGACCAAACCCATTATGATCACAGTGGAATGTGGTATTACTTCAGTTTCTTTGAAGATCTAAAAGCAGGTGGTCCCATTTGTGATGTGATAACACTTGGAGAATGAGCCTCCTCCACTGCACCTTCCCAAGACATTTCCAACTTTCAGTTGGCCATCAAGGGGGTTTTACTTGTCGACCTCTTGTTGTGGCAACGGCACTTGACATTTGTACAGTAGCTTACTTATGACAAAGTGAGTTCTTTCAGCCCGACGAGCCTACCGTTAGTGGTGTTATGGCAGTCGTCCCCCGCCGTCACTACTGCGAATTCTGTATCTCTTCTTGACGGCTGTTTTCACTCCTCAACCTCCATTCAGCCGATCATCCTCACTTTTGGATCCTTTTCCTTTTCTTTTCATTTTTTTTATTTTTTTTATCTTCTACTCTAGCTCTGTCTCACCGAGTCGGGTCAGACTTGCCAAACCATGGCGGCTGAACATTAAACCGAGGCATGTCCGTAGCTTCCCCTCAGCCTCATGCGAGTTTAATTGGTGAGGTGAAAAATCTTTTGCTGTCTGATGACGATCGTCATGTCGATTCATGGAATGTCTTTCTCATTTCCCTTGTTGGTGTAAGCGTGCGGCTCTAATGTTCCACAACAGCCTTATTTGTGAAACAGTGTTAGGCAATATTCAGCTTGGTTACACAATGCATCCGTCGGTAGCCCGTTGGTAGCGAGGGAATGTCTTGGACTTTGACAACAGTGAGCACCATACCTAGATCCTAAGCGGCTCGCCAATGGTGTCGTTCTACTAAACCTCTCGACCAGAACTTACTAGTCGACTCCAACCGCCAAGAAGACGATATGTATTGAGGCTCCGATATCTCGTACTCAGACCAACCTCGAGATGCCCAAGATGACATGTCATTGCCTGGATAACGGCAGGCCGGGATACTCAATATTACCATCAAGGCCGCCAACACATATACCATGCGTAACCTTGGCCGTCATCCCCGGAGAACTCAGCCTTCACACCTGAAGGGCATGTAGTCATCATGCCGATAACGACAATGGGCATGAACCCGCAAATCCTCCAAATTCCCCTTTGCTTCGAACGGCGGACATGCATACCCTCCTTGCTCTTGCTGGACGTAGGGCTATGCGGTCAAGCCGAATCCGAAATCCGTGCGTCCTTTCGCCTTACAGCAGCTGGTTCACCGTGTGCTCTGCACGTCCAAGTCCAGACAACAGTGCGCTTTTCGGTAACCGTCACATCAAAAGATTTGCGGTTGAATTGACCCAACACGAGAACCTGGAAACAAAGGACTGCGGGAGAAGGAGTACTTTCACAAGCGTGGTTTTCTGGATGGAATCTCCACCGGCCGCAAAATTGGTCTCCACTACCAGGGGACAAGGGCACTAACAGACACGTGCAAATTACCGGAAATTGGCCCATGTGAAGGCTATCACCAGGCTCAAAAGTCATCAAGCTAACCTGTTAACGGTCGCTGACAAGGCCGCCCAAGGTTGGCTACATCCGCTACCTTAGTCTTAAGCGTCACTAACACATGGGAAATCGTGCATTTTCCCATCGCTAAGACAATTGGAAAACGGCCTCCCGTCCCGGGGACGTTCCATAGGTTGCTTCCCCCTCCCGATGCCCAGGGCATGTCTTTCCATTGATCATTGACACAGACCATCGAGGTATAGCTCCCAAGGCTTTGGCGCAGTTCTGTTACGTTACACTCTCTGGTAAAATCAGAGGGACAGGAACACCGATCCAAAATTATTTTACCATCGATTCCAGAAACAGGGCCTTTCTTCGTCTGAACTGGTCCTTCCTTCTGTACCTTTTCATCCCCTTATCGGTTCAGGGAGGGGACTAGAGCGTCCTAATTCGCCTACCCAGATGGCCTGTCGAATCTCGATCTCGACCATTGAACTCCCTGATGCCGCTGATGGAATCCAGGCGCCAGCAGAGTGTATCAAAATCGCAGAAATTATGGTAGATCCGGCTCTGGCAGCTCCACCTTGGCATCCAACCCCCAGGCTTGTTTCCCACAGGAAGAAGCTTCTTCCGTCGTCCCAACAGTCGAAGGAAGGTAGCATGGATGGAAGCCAACACTGGGCCAGTGATCGTCAGTCGTCGGTTTCGGATTCGCTCTCCCACTTTCCTTTCTTCTTCCATTTCGTCCGTTGCTCATGTCCGTCGACCACCTCATCAGCATCTTCACCAAGGGGAAAGAAAGTCCACCTCGACTCAGCCGAGCCGAGAACATCCTCGTCGTCAAGATACATCTGGAACAGAATCACATTCAGTTGCACAGTTTGCAGATTGTGTCATACATCAGCCTCGTTTCAACGGCTTACGTTTCCGCAGCACTACCTAGGTGCACCCGGTTCATGTCCACTGGATCCTTGCTTTGCCTTCTGCGTAGTGTACATGAGGCTACGCATCATGCCTTTGCCGCCGCCGAAGACGCCCAGGATCGGTCTAATCTACATACACAGCCTTCATCGGGGCCTGTCTCCTGTCTCTCGTGCAGCCTTCTCGACGTCGATGCGCCAGGAGTCCGAACCAGACCTTGTGTGGCAGGAAAAGCTCCATCATATCTTCTTTTCTTAAACGCCAAACCTTCTCCAGATATGGACAAGCCAAGCTCTTAACCTTCACATTAGCTACTTGGAGGCACTTCCTTTTGCCGACTCTCTATGATTGATTTCCTCATTGCCTATATTTTTTGCCCCAAGGCCGTTCACATCATTCATCCATTTTTCAGTCTGTCCCAGCCCCTGTCGATGGATCCCATACGCGTAGGGGGCCGGAACTTCGTGGAGCCTTTCTCTTCTCCAATACCCCTCCCGCCTATCCTCTTGCCTCCAAGAATGACCCCCGTCTTTGCCTGTTGACTGTGCCCGGCTTTGCCTCATCTCTACATCTACCTCTATCTCCGGTAGATTTTTCGTTCTCACTATCATACTTCTGTCATCCCATCATTTTCGCCCACATGGGACAAAAAGTGTCCATGTGGCTTCTCTTCTCATCTGATATAGTTGTCACAACTTTCTTTTTGTTTACTTGCTAAGCCTTTACCTTAGGCCAATTTCATCTCCCCTTTTCCCTCTTCTTCTTCTTATACTAATTCGGTCACGCAACGCACGGACGAGGTGTTGGTTGTCACTTAGACAGTACGATCTTTGGAACTGCCTTGTGTACCCTACGTGCCACTTACACTCTTAACTTGACCAAGGTCTGCCTGGGTTTCTTGTGGTTTGGTTCTTATTAGACGTAACCAAATCCTTGGCCTACGTTGAAGAGCTCACTCAGTCTTACTTGCATCACGATTATCCGAGTGTTGTCAGATCCATTCTTTTTTTTTTTTTTTTTTTTTTTTTTTTTTTTTTTTTTTTTTTTTTTTTTTTTTTTTTTTTTTTTTTTTTTTTTTTACTTTTATATGTGTTTATTTTTTTTCTGATTTGCACTACCTACCCGATAGCGCAGCTGATTCCTGAACCTTGCCAGCTTCCTTCTTCCGTCTGTCACAAATCCTTTTTGGTTTACTGTATTGTATTATCATCTACATATATTTAGGATATTGCATCAGTGGGCTTTGTCGGATCTTGAAAGTTGGATTCTTCAGACCGTCGATATCGTTCTTCGAACAAACAGATCAAAAAGGAAAAGAGAAGAAAAAAACACAGAAAATAAGGATGAGGAGAACGACGATATGGGAATGGATCTTGACGGCATCCCTTCTCTCAACAACGGAAGCCTTCGCCATTCGACAATCGCAAGATGCAGATACCCCAAAGATGGTCAGTCTGCAGACGGAACGATTGTCCGTCCCAAAACCTGCTGCCCAAGACAGGCTACAAAGGAGAGGAATAAATGAAGTCGTATTAGACAATGTCGTATGATTTACCCTTCTAATACTTTGCTTGAATACTTGGCTAATACCACGGTTCAGATAGGTGGATACTATGTCAATGTGACCATTGGTACACCCGGAAGGAATCTTTCCCTACATCTCGACACAGGCTCAAGTGATACTTGGGTGAATTCTCCCAGTTCGATTCTTTGTCAAAATGAAGACAAACCGTGCGAATACTCCGGCACCTACCTAGCCAATGACTCGTCTACTTATGAGTACATTAGCGATCATTTCGACATCAAGTACGTGGATGGGTCTGGCGCCAGAGGGGACTATGCCTCCGATACCTTCACAGTCGGCAACACCAAACTGAACCGGCTGCAGTTTGGCATTGGCTACTCTTCAACTAACGCGCAGGGACTGCTCGGTATAGGGTACGCCCTGAGCGAAGTGCAAACCCGTGCCGGGTTGCCAACCTATAACAACCTTCCGGCGCAAATGGTCGCCGACGGCTTGATCAACTCCAATGCCTACTCCATCTGGCTCAATGACCTCGATGCCCCCACGGGTACCATCCTCTTCGGCGGCGTCGACGCCGCCAAGTACGAGGGCGACCTGCTCACCCTACCCGTTCAAACCCCCGAAAAGGGCACGTACAAGAACCTCATGGTCACCATGACCGGCCTGTCTCTATCTCAGTCCCAGTCCTCCTCCAGCGACAAGGGCAACGGTGATGACACCACCAAGATCTCCAAAGACAACCTCGCCCTTGCCGTTCTCTTGGACACCGGCTCAACCCTCAGTTATCTCCCCAGTGAGCTCATCAAACCGCTCTACGACGCGATCGGTATCGAATACATAACAGACCCCGACGGCAAAGTAGATGGCTACGCGCCCTGCCATCTCATGTCCTCATCGCAATCTGTCATGTTCTCCTTCTCCTCCCCGCTTCAGATCACCGTGCCCATGAACGAGCTCATCATCAACCGGACCTTCCACGGCAAACTCCCACGCATGCCGGACGGCGTCACAGACGCCTGCATCTTTGGCATCCAAGAACGTAATGGCACGGGAGCAAACACCTTAGGCGACACGTTTTTGCGCAGCGCGTATGTTGTGTTTGATCTGGACAATAACGAGATTTCGATGGCGCAGACGAGGTTTAATGCCACGGCGACGGACCTGAAGGAGATCAAGAAGGGTAAAGGGGGGGTGCCCGGCGCGAAGGCGGTGGAAAATCCTGTGGAGGCCACGAGCGGGCTTTCTGGTAATGAAGGGGGGATATATGTGAATGGGGCGGCGGGTGAGTTGAATGTGGGTATGGGAATGGCTTGGGGGTTGTTGGTGAGTGGTGCGATGGTGTTTGTGGGGTTGTGAGGTGGTGGTGATGGATGGAAAAAAAAAAAAAAAAAAAAAAAAGGAAGAAAAAACAAGGAAAAAGGAGGGAAGGAAGGGAAAAGCGAATTGGCTGAAAAGTTTTCAAAAGATCAAGTTCTTTATTTTTTGTATAATTCTTACGATTACATAGGAACAGCCTTGGGGCTTCGACCGTTCATATTTATATAGTAAATCATTTACTTCCAGTGCATTCTGTCCATGGTATGAAAGTGACTGCTCGTTGATTATGACTTGATTTTCACGTCTCTCTGATCGACCTGTTACAGATGGATATATAAATGGAGATTTGCTAGGAAAACACATTGCACGTTCACAGCACCATAAGGATGACCATAATGATGGTATCGAAACAGTAGACGTAAAAGTATACTCACTGGCCGACCCGTATATATTGTAATCCATTTGCGCAACATGCTGGTCATTTTTTGTTTCCTTGACACCAGGGTAAGCAAGCGAGCTGATGGTACTTGCTCTGATCATTCCATATTACATTTCCTCTACCTTGCCATCCCACATAACATGACCAGACTCAAACCAACCTGTACCATAACATGTCCGTGTATCTTTCCAATCTACTTCATCAGTTCCGCGTGGCTTTGTTACAAACACGACGTCCAGATACGTAGTGTCCTCCAAACTATTCGTGTACACACCAGACCTTCCAAGCCTCTCATGCAAATACCATCATCCTTAGGATCTTGTTCGCTGGCTCGCCGAACCGGAGAAGTTGTTGTATGTCTCCCTATGTTGTACCAGAGTAGTCAACATCAGGGCCAGCTTCTTGATAGCGATGGTATATATACTCGTTATTTGAGAGTCTGAGATTGTTTTTTGGTCTCTGGTCGTTTGTTTTGCCTTCCTTTCAATTTACCTACGTTTCCATCTCTCCTTGTTTCAGTTTTCCTTGCTAGGTACCTGATGGCAATCTGGAACTGTGACAAGGTTTCTTCATGAGGTATGTGTATTTCCTTCTATGTTGGGGATTTGAAGCTAATAAAGGGAAAAAAAAAAAAAGGGGGGGGGGGGGGGGGGGAGGTTTTTGGTAAGGTTAGATTGTCGCCTCATGAAGTCCCCCTGTGGTCGTGGTTAGTCGTCGTCTGTGTTGTTTTGATCGTTCGTTGACGGGCAGTCTTCTTTTCTTTGAGTACGAGAGAGTCTTGAACAGGACGACGACGACGACGACGACGATGGATTTGGAGACCACGACAGGCCAATTTAATAATGCAACGGATCGTCTTCGTGCCAGCATGGGCGCCAGCTGTTAAAGTGGGTTAGTTCCACGTTCACGATATTATGACTGCTAGAAAGAAACAAAAAATAAAGAGGAAGAGAGAGAGAGAGAAAGGGTAAAGAAAAGGAGAAGAGGAAGAAGAAAAGAATCTGTAAGAGAGAAAAAAAAAAAAAATTTTAAAAAAAAAAATAGAAAAAAAGGGAGAGAGAAAAAAGGACAGCTCACTAAGGCTCCGGCGTCCCATCATCACAAGCCTGCCAACAGCACTCATCACTCGCCGCCTCAATCACCGCCCTCACCTCGGGCCGGCACGTGCACTCGAGATCCAGCGGATCTTCGCAATCTGTGTTCAGCTCCACGGCCTTTTTCGTGCAAGGTTGCGCACAAGCCGCAAACACTCCCGGGATCTCGTTCTCTGTGCCCATGGGAAACGGGCGAACGTCGTCTAGACGTACCGTCTGGATCGGTTGACCGTAGACGTTGACGTTCTTGGAGATCCGAGATTCAGCGACGTCGTCGCCGAAATGCGGAAAGCCGTCATCGTCAAGGCGGTCCTTGGGGTTTTGGCGGCGGTGGAGGAGGGCCTGTGGGGAGGAGAGGGGGGAGCGGGTGATGAAGACTTTGAGTGCCGAGGTGGTAGTGGAAGTCGTCGTCGTCGATGCAGCGAGAGTAGGGGAGGCAAGGACATGGCTGTGCTGGACGTGGGCGAAATTAATGGGATCAGCGATTTCGTTACCGGCGGCGATGTGGGCGATGCGGTCGAGTTCGTCGAATTCGGGTCCTTCAGAGTGCTTGATGTCATCCTGGGTGTTGTTGGGCGTAGTGACACATTCAAAGAGGAAGGGAAAAAATAAGGAGACTAGAGAGGTAGTCAACACAACTGAGAATAAGAAACCCCAGAGGATGAAACAAGGAGAGACTCGGGGAAGGCGGGGGAAGAAGCGGATCTCGACGGGGCGTATGAAGGCCATTTTTGCCGTGGCGATGGCGGTGCGGTTGGCGATGCCGGTATTGATGGTTATTGCTGGAGCAGGTTGAGGAACTTTTAGGTAATGAGGGAGTCAGTTAAGGTTCGGCTCTTTGTTGGTTGGACGGACTTATACTTATTCGATGGAATTCCAAATTGTTCCGGTTCTGGTTTTATTTGTTTTTGCAAAGCGGAAGGTAAGAGAGGAAGACAAAAGATTACAACACTCCTTAAGTAAAAAAAAGAAAAGAAAAAAAAAGTAATACAAGGAGATACTTGAAAGCTATGCGTTGGTCGAATGTCTGAAGATGCAGATGCGGGCTTGCGGAGGAAATAATTTTTCAAGCGGACATACGTACACATTGCCATTCAAGCGAAGTTCGGTGTGCATGATCCAAAGAATATTTTTCTGCAGCATGAGCTGCATATGCAAATGGTATACCAGGAATTTGAGCGCAGCATCGGGCGCGGTTGTTAAGCTGTAGTTGAGTGTCCGGGGTTGGTTTGACGGACATATGCGCGTGCCCCCCAATATTATTTATCTTTATGCTCTTCCTTGATTGGATGTATTCCGACGTGAAGCCATCGTCAACATGGGAAAATCATCAAGAATATCAATTTGTCGTGTAAATTGGGACAACAATGAACATATCATCTGAAGACGTCTGTTCGAAGTGTTGATATTCGACGGTTGGATATGGTAGACACGGTTGAGACCTCGACAACGAACCGACGCACACCAGAGAGCCCTTATGCGAACCTGGATCACCGATACATCCTCAACCGCCTACTAACCTTCGACATATACATCACTAATAGCTTCTAGAGAACTAGTTACCACTCTGTAACCATTTATAATACTGTTGCTCAACCCCCGTCGTACCGTCTTCCGCCACGTACCTTTCACATGCGTACTTCACTGCAGCTCTTTATCTCATCTTCCACCCGCCCATGCCCGTCCAACTTAGCACAAAAGAAACACCAGCACAGCACACACGTTTCGGCCCGTCCCGCCGGTGTACCGTGTCCATTGTCTGATGGAGGATGCTCTCCATTCTCTCAATCTATTGTATAGCCTCCAGAAATTTTGCTTTCTCTTCGACGTAATGTTCGAGAAGCGACAAGCTATCCATGAACTCAGCTCTCTGTAGCGCGGCCCGAAGGTGAGCTCGCTTATTTCTACCAAACCTCTATTACGACAGGTATCGACTTTGTCCTTTCACAAAACAAATCAGGCCTAAATAAGCGGTCAAGCATGCGGACAAGAAATGTTCGTTCATATTCATGTTTCCAAGTGTCATGTTTCTCATGACTAAGAGGCATGACACAAAGGGAAATAAAATCCAAAAAAAAAATAAAAAAAAAAAGTGAAGACTCTCAATTGAGACAAAGGTTGGAATAATAAAATGACAACAAAATGCAAGGTCTTTGTGAGGTTTTTCTACTGAACCTGCAAAGGACCCCCTTCCCACTTTGATCATGGATAGCCATCCGACCAGAGGAACAAGAAGCAGTAAATGAGAAAATCTAGTCTTACGCCTTTATTGAAACAAGGCAGACTCATAAGCCGTGATGTTGACAGACCTAATCCCCCAAGCCCATCCGGATATATAACAAAAACAGACCAAAGCCAAACATGAAACGCTCCGTCATGACCACCGGTGGTTTTGATTGTACAAACAACACACATACATAGTCAGTTCTTGCCCAGAAAACTGCTCAAATCCTAAAAATCTAGCTCATTTCGCATCATCTCGCCTGTGTTGATCGGCTGGGGCTCGCTTATTGTCATGGGCATGCTCAAAGTCTGGAGGTTGTTGTACATGGTTGACTGGGGTGTTGAGCTGTTGCCATTGCTGGGTGCTCCTGAGGCGTGGACGTAGCCACCCTCAGATGTTGGCGAAGAGTACTCCTCTTCCTCCTCTCCAGAGAGGTTCGAAGTACCCTCAGAACCGTCGCCACGATCGTGTGTACGCTTGTGCCTAAAGAAATACCAGTCAGTGTCATTGTCGACATGCGTTCCTCATGAGCAACTGATGTGTGCTGAGGTGTACGGTAAATTGGAAGGGTGATTGCATACTGTGCTAGGTTATCTGATCGGGAGAACGCCTTCTGGCAGTATGAACAGACGTAAGGTCTCTCTTGTGTATGTGTTCTTACATGTCTGATTGGAAAGAAAGTCGAAAGGTTAGCATTGCAATAAGAGGATGGGACATCAAAAGGGTTATAACTATTCATTCTTACCTCTTAAGGTGCTCCAAACGCTTGAAGACACGACCGCATGAGGGAATGGGGCAAGAGTGCGACTTCTGGGGATAAGGACCAAGCTCCGAAACCGTGGCAGAACGCGCGCGACGGATTACGCCGGGGTGGCCCTGGGACATCTGTCGCTCGCTCATGGGAGCAAGTTCGTCATCGTTGAGGGGGCCGTAGCTCTGACCCATGGAAATATTCATGGGGTTGAGCGCAGGGCTGCCCTCGACAGTGGATAGGGGAGTACCGTGCCTCGAAAGCTCGAGCATCTCGTGGTGCTGCTGGCGGGCCATGTTGATGGCAGGGTTGCTGTACGTCAACCCAGGGGGAGAGTTGTCCGCAGACTCATCACCCTCGGCCACGGGACCGACAGAGGCAGACACGGACCTCCGCAGATCCGAGGGCTTGTACACCCCAGGAGTACCCGCGGCAA